CATTTCATTTGCCATTTTGTTGCCCAGTCACTTAGTTTTGTGAGATCTTTTTGAAGTTCTTCACAGTCTGTTTTGGTCTTAACTATCTTGAGCAGTTTAGTATCATCTGCAAACTTTGCCACCTCACTTTTTACCCCTTTCTCCAGATCATTTATGAATAAGTTGAATAGGATTGGTCCTAGGACTGACCCTTAGGGAACACCACTAGTTACCCCTCTCCATTCTGAGAATGTACCATTAATTCCTACCCTTTGTTCCCTGTCTTTTAACCAGTTCTCAATCCATGAAAGGACCTTCCTTTTTATCCCTTGACAACTTAATTTACGTAAGAGCCTTTGGTGAGGAACCTTGTCAAAGGCTTTCTGGAAATCTAAGTTCACTGTGTCCACTGGATCCCCCTTGTCCACATGTTTGTTGACCCCTTCAAAGAACTCTAATAGGCATTTTATCTTTATTTTTCTTGTAACCATTTCTGACTTTTATGGCTCATTATTTATGCTTACTTAAAAGCTCTCTCTTTGTAGTTAATAAATTTGTTTTACTGTTTTATCTAATCCAATCTGTTTAAAGTGAAGTGCCTGAATAATTATTTAAGGTAATAAGATTGTATATTATTCCCTTAAAGCAGGGATGGGCAAACTGTGGCTTGGGGGGCCCATCCAGCCCTTCAGATGTTTTAATCTGGCCGCCAGGGAGCAGGGTCGGGGGCTTGCCCAGCTCTGCATGTGCCGTGGCTCCCGGAAGCAGCGGCATGTCCCCCCGTGGCTCCTAAGTGTAGGGGCAGTCAGGGGGCTCAATACGCTGCCCCCACCCCTAGCGCCACCCTCGCAGCACTCATTGGTCGGGAACCACTGCCAATGGGAGCTGCAAGGGTGGCACCTGCGGACATGTCAGTGCGCAGAGCTGCCTGGCCACGCCTCTGCGTAGGAGCCGGAGGGGGGACATGCTGGTGCTTCCGGGAGCTGCTTGAGGTAAGCGCCGCCCATAGCCTGTACCCCTGACCCCCGCCCGTGCCTCAGCCCTGATCCCTCTCCTGCCCTCCAAACCCCTCGGTCGCAGACAAGAGCACTCTCCTGCACCCCCATCCCAGAGCCCACATCCCCAGCCGGAGTCCCCTCCTGCACCCTGAACACCTCATTTCTGGCCCCACCCCAGAGCCCTCACCCCCTCCCACACCCCAACCCCCAATTTCATGAACAATCATGGCCTGCCATACAATTTCCATACCCAGATGTGGCCCTCGGGCCAAAAAGTTTGTCCACCCCGCCTTAAAGGAATAATGGACTTAATCAAAATATACATATGCTGGGGAAAAAGCAACAGTTACACTGGCATTTCCTAATTTTGAGTGCTTCCCTTATTCCACTGTCTCAGACTCAAACTTCTTGTCTGTACTCTCAAAGCCCTTCACAATCTAACTCTGCCCTACCTATCCGACCTTATATCTTACAGTAAGGTTCATGTCTGTCTTACCTCTACCAGTGATGCCAGCCCCCAAAACTCAGTTCTCTACTCTGATAAGCACTTCTGTGGGAAGTGGGAAATGTGCTCAGTCAGAATTCATCTAATCATAATTCATCTCTTCAGAACTCACCTCTTCTGCAATGTTTGCAGGAAAGTACAATCAGATAATGGCTGGACAAATGGCAAATTGTGGTCACTGCTTTTCATTGGCTAAAAATTGTGCATATCCTTTTGTTTTATTTCATTCTACCCTTGCCCGCTTGTGTCATCCACCTGTTGTGTCTTGTCTCTTTAGATTTATAAACTTTTTGGGACAGACATTGTCACTTGCCATCTCTGCTTTCAGCACTTTAGCACAATCAAGCCCTGGCCTGGTTGGCCTCTAAGTGTTACTGGAATACAAATAAAAAATAAGGCCATTGCTCTAAGTTGACAAAAGAGAAGGAAGAGTATGCAATACTATGTGTTTCTTCTGTCTCTTAATTATTTTTAATTGTTTCGTATTTAACCCCATGTTTAAATTCACTCTGTTCATACTCATCACATAGTTGATACTATCTACTTCCCTCACCCGAAGATCAGGAACAAGAAGTTTTAGTGGTGGTGGTGGTTGTTATTTTTTGCACCGTGGTAGTGTCTAGCAGCCAAACTCAAGATTGGGGTCCCATGGTATGTGCACAGTGCCTAGCACCACAAAAAGTGGTCCTTGCCCCAAAAAGCTTACAATCTAAGGTGGACAGATGCTCACCTCAACAATGGATTCTATCTTAGAGTTTTATAGTGGTGCCCATCACTGTATCTCAGTGCCTTCCATGAAAAATTCAACAGCCATGTCCCTAGAGCAGCAGTTCTCAACCAGGGGTCCACGAGCCCTTTCAGGGGGTCCGCAGAGCCCTGTGGCTGGCCCCTAGCCCCAGCGCTAAAGCCGGCGGCCCCCTGCCCCAAAGCTGGGAGCAGCACAGGGCTAAAGGCAGTGCCCCCCACATCAGCCAGGAGCAGCGCAGGGCTGATGCCAGCACCCCTCAAGCCCCTGAAGCTGGGAGAGGTGTGGGGCTGAAGCTGGGAGCCCCAGTGTACCCCCACAAGCCAGGAGCAGCAGGGGGCGCTGAAGCTGGAAGCCCCATTGCCCCCCCAAAGCTGGAAGCAACCCGGGGAGCCCCCCCATATGTAGTACCTAGCTACCCCCTGCCTGCACCCTGAACTACCCCCCTGCCCGCACACAGCCCCTAGCTATCCCTGGCACCCTGAGTGGTTTTCAAACTTTTTGAACTGAGTCCCTCCTTTAAGTTATATTTTTTGGTTGCGTCCCCCATAGCCCAGACTGGCTGGGTTGCCTCCTGAGTGAGTCAGGAGGTGGAGGTGACACTCCGTCCCTGGACCCTGTGAGGTCCCCGTAAATAGAAGTAAAACTATGCCTATTCCCAAGGGTCCGCACCTTGCCTAGAGCCCCAAGTTCCCCCACCCCTGGGCCCTGAAGTTTTTATAGCATGTTGAGGGGGGCCTCAGCAAGCCTAGGAGGGAGGGGGAGAAGCGGCGCCACGGCCACTCGGAGTCTCCCCCTCCCTCCCAGGTTTGAGAGCCTGGGAGGGAGGGGGAGACTCCGAGTGGCCGCCCAAGCCTGGTAGGGAGGGGGAGCAGCGGCGCGCGAAACGGCTGCTTGGGATCTCCCCCTCCCTCCCAGGTTTGAGAGTAGGGTGACCAGACAGCAAGGGTGAAAAATCGGGACGGGGGTGGGGGGTAATAGGAGCCTATATAAGAAAAAGACCCCAAAATCAGGACTGTTCCTATATAATCGGGACATCTGGTCATCCTATTTGAGAGCCTGGGAGGGAAGGCGAGTAGCGGCGCGCGAATCAGCTGTTTCGCGCACCGTGGCAGCAGCAGCGGTGGAGGTGAGCTAGGGCGGCCGGGGCACATTATTAGGGGTGGCATTCTGGCGCCGGCCATGCCGCCCCTAAAAATGTGCCGCCTCAAGCACCAGCTTGTTTTGCTGGTGCCTAGAGCCGGCCCTGACTGGTGATAAAATTGCAAGCCACTAGGTCTCAGCATGTGATGGCAGCGGTAACAGCCATGATGGCCCTTATGATAAAGCCAAAGCAGCACAAATATCCAATTAACGCACACGCTGATTCCATCTCCTCTCAGGTTAAGAGCAATATGCTCAGCTAGCTACCAAAACAATCTGGAATCTCACCAGGGATCGTAGAGAAACCGCCAATCTGCCATTCTTTTAGACAAGTGTGAAGGGAAACAACAGAGCCAGTAAGAATCCTACAAACCATCTTTACAGGTTAAAATGACCATCCTGCCGCCCTCCTCCCCCTCGTGGGGACAGTTTCAAAGCCGAGGAGAGCAGGCTGTAGGAGCCCGAGCTCTAATCACTGTGGTTTGCCTTGGGACGAGCCTGAGCCTGCTCTGCCGACGCCACAGCCCCCTCTGCCCGATGCTCAGACTCTGGAGCCGGTGGGGGAAAGTGCGGGCGGGGCGGAAAGGAGAGCGAGGGAGCGGGGCGGGAGGAGCTAAACTGACACCTCCAGCAAGGAGAGCAGCGGGGGAGTCAGTCTGGTCCCGGCGGCTGCCGTTTTACTCCCTCCCAAAGCCCCCGCAGCTGCTACGTGCGTGCGCCCCCCTCCCGCAGGGAGGCGCCTCAGACTCCGCCCTTCCCCGCGCGGGTCCCGCCTTCCATGGGGCGCGGGGCAGGGGGAGGCGGTGACCGCTCCTCCCCTAGCTAGAGTCGCCCGTCCCGCCCATCTGCCCGAAGTCTCCCGCGCGCTCCCAGCAGGAGTCGGCCCCAGGGGGCGAAACTGCGACCTGGGGGGAAGGATTCGGAGACGCGCCTAATGGCTCCCAGCCAATGGGCTGCGCGGGCTACCCGCAGTGCCGGGTGGGAGGGGGCGCATGTGCAGTGAGAGAGGCCCGTCCGGGAGGGAGGCTCGCTCCTCTCGCAGCGCGTGCGTGGCTGGTTCCGAGAGCGGCTGCAGAGCCGCGGCCCGGTTTGTGCGCGTGACGCCCCCGCCCCGCCCCCGCCATGGCGTTGAACAAGTCCATGCACGCGAGAAACCGCTATCGGGACAAACCGCCGGACTTCGCCTACCTGGCGTCCCGGTACCCGGCCTTCCGCCAGCACGTGCAGACCAGCCTCTCCGGCCGGGCCAGGTGGGTCCCCGGCACCGGGGGAGGGGCGCGGAGCTCTGACGGGTCTCGGCGGGCGCGGCCGGCCGGCTGGGGACTGGGATTTTCCGCCGCCGTTGTCCAGAGCCCCGCGGCGGCAGCTGAGCGTCGGCGCGGACACATGGGGGAGGCCTGGGTCTGTGCCACTGCGGGCGAGCCCAACTCCCCCTCCGGCCATCGCCGTGCGCCAGCGGCCTGTGGGCCGGCATCACCGTGCCAGGCGCGCCCCCCTCCAATCTTCGCCTCCAGCGCCGCTGTCCCGGCAACAACCCTTCCCCCGTCTAGCCAGCATCGCTGGGAAACACCCCCGACCCCTTCCCGAGCCACAGAAGAGTGCGTACGTCGGTGTGGCTCTGACAGGTGGGGTTGCTGTACCGAGAAGGGTATATGCTACAGCTGTGGCTCTGAAGTGTAGACAGGGGCTTAGACTCCCTTGCTACACAACCACTAGTCATCCCCACAACACCGTCCATACTTCCCACGGAATGAGCGGGGGATCCTGTGGGGAAAACAATATGTGATTAGACTTAATCAGAATACCCCTGCGCTAGGGACAGAGCTCGGTTGTACTGGCGTGTCCCTATTTTGAGTGCTTGTCTTTGCAACTGCAACATTTTCCTTATGTAGATGTTTACTTTTTTAAAATACAAACTGAGGAAATAAATTCCGTCATAATCTAATGGTTGTGGTAGAGCCAGTAGATAGAAGGACGTTTATTTTGGGGGTTGGGTTTGCCCCAGAACCAGCACTTAAGGCTTTTTCCTTCTCAGGCCTTGGCTACACTTGCAGATGTACAGCACTGTGAGTTAAACCTGACTTCGTGCAGCTGAGTGTGGAAAGCACTGCAGTCTGTCCACACTGACAGCTGCCCAGCGCACTGTCGTGGCCACATTTGCAGCAATTGCAGCGCTATTGGGAGCGGTGCATTATGGGCAGCTATCTCACAGACCACCTTTTCTCATTCTGGCGCAGTGGGTTGTGGGAAGGGGGCGTGGGTGCGGGGGATTCTGGGTCCTGTCCCAATGCCCTGTGATGCATCGCTTCGCATCCCAGAAATCCCTTTTTTTCTGTCCACCTTTGGCGCCATCTTTCAACGGTTTCTGTGCAGCGCGATCTGTCTGCGGGAAATGGAGTCCGAACTGCTGAGGCATATGCTGACGAGTCTCGCCAGCACGTCATGATTGGCTGTCGAACTATTCCTTAAGATCCAAAGTGAGAGTGAGGGTGAGGAGGTCCGACAATGCTATCGAGCCGCGTAATGCGTACGACACGAAATTGCTTGTGGCATTCACGGACATGCTCAGCACCGTGGAACGCCGCTTTTGGGCTCGGGAAACCAGCACTGAGTGGTGGGATCACATCATCATGGAAGTCTGGGATGAAGAGCAGTGGCTGCAGAACTTTCGGATGAGAAAAGCCACTTTCATGGGACTGTGTGAGGAGTTCGCCCCCACCCTGCGGTGCAAGGACACGAGATTGAGAACTGCCCCGCCAGTGGAGAAGCGGGTGGCTATTGCAATCTGGAAGCTGGCAACTCCAGACAGCTACTGGTCGGTCGCAAACCACTTCGGAGTGGGAAAGTCGACCGTTGGAATTGTGTTGATGCAAGTTTGCAAGGCCATTAATCGCATCCTACTCAGAAGAACTGTGACTCTGGGTAACGTGCAGGAAATAGTGGATGGCTTTGCACAAATGGGGTTCCCTAACTGTGGAGGGGCGATAGATGGGACGCACATTCCTATTCTGGCACCACTCCACCTTGGATCCGAGTACGTTAATCAGAAGGGGTATTTCTCTATGGTTCTCCAGGCGCTTGTGGATCACCGTGGGTGTTTCATTGACATTAACACAGGCTGGCCTGAAAAGGTGCATGACGCACGCATCTTTCGGAACACTTGGCTGTTCAGGAAGATGCAGGCCGGGACTTTTTTCCCAGAGCGGAAGATCACGGTAGGGGAAGTTGAAATGCCCGTTGTGATCCTTGGAGATCCTGCTTACCCGTTAATGCCGTGGCTCATGAAACCCTACACAGGGAGCCTTGACAGCAGCAAGGAACGGTTCAACTACAGGCTGAGCCTGTGCCGAATGACTGTGGAGTGTGCCTTTGGCCGTTTAAAGGGCCGCTGGCGATCTCTGTATGGGAAGCTGGACTTGGCCGAAAACAGCATTCCCACGGTTATATCCACGTGCTATGCCCTCCATAATATTTGTGAAGGGAAGGGTGAAAGCTTCACTCAGGCATGGACCTCCGAGGTTCAACACCTGGAGGCTGAATTTACACAGCCAGAGAGCAGGGCTATAACAGGGGCCCAGCGTGGGGCTGCAAGGATTAGGGATGCCTTGAGGGAGCAATTTGAGGCTGAAAACCAGCAATGATACCT